GCACTGGACAGTGCCATGGGGGGGGGGGGGCAGGAATGGTGGAGACCGGTGTTCCCTCTAAGTTGAGTTAGTGTGAGCTAGCTCACAGTTTTTTAGCCTCCAGCTCAGTTTTTTTTGTCTTTGCTCAGGAAGGATGGCTCCAGAGCCACCTAATTTATGCAGTAGTCAAATTGCTCGCTCACAACTTTAATGCCAGTACTAGCTCACAAAGTAAAATTTTTGCTCCCAAGGCTCCACACCTTAGAGGGAGCATTGGTGGAGACTGCTCCCCCCCAAGACAAATCTGCTGCTTGAGGCCCCCACCTCATCTTCCCCATCACCACATACAAAGCATGAACTAAAAAGAGATAGCTGGAATCCTGACTACTTGCTCCTCAAGTCCTGTGCATCCTGGGATATTGTCAAGGGAGCAGCCGCTGAGATGGAAGGCAGCAGAGAAAGGTGGGATGTGAACCAGGTCGTCCCGTCCCCCCTGAACTGCCCCTCACTGCTCCTGGGGTCACAGGAGACCTTCAGTTGCAGGCTACCAATTACAAGTGGGTGAGATCTGGCAAGCAGAGAGACCACTCCTTGGGGATGTGCTGGCTAGACTGCCCCACAACACAGAAGTCCCATGAGGAAATGACAACCCAAGATTGCTCAATCTGAGTTCATTCAGAAGTTCAAAACAATGGAGGGGGGGCTGAATAGGGACACAGGATTCTTGCCTCACTGCAGATGCTAATTTTCTGGGGGTTGGGCAGCATTTCTCCACTCCTCTAATCTAGTTGGTTACAAAGGTCGAGTCCAAAGGGCACCTTGAAGACCAACAGGTATAATTCAAGGTACAAGCTTTTGCACACACGATTTCAGATGTGTGTATGTATCCACTGGCACTTTTGAGACCAACAGGTTTAATTCTGGGTACAAGCTTTCGTGTGTGTGCACATGAAGAAGTGGTGCGCGTGTGTACCTGAAGATGCGTGTGTACACAAGAAAGCCTGTACCCAGAATTAAACTGTGTTGGTCTTAGAGGTGCCACCAGACTCAAACTTTGTTCTGCTGCCTCAGACCAACAGGGCTGCCCACCTGAATCTGTCTAGTTGATTCGGATGCGCCTTGTCCTTGCACCTCCTTTACCAGCGCTCTTCACAACACTCCTCCCATCTTCTGACCAGGAGGAAAGGACAAAAGATCTCCGTGTCCCGTCTGAGGAAAGGAGCGTTGGCTCCCCGAAAGGTGGCACCCTGGAACTCTTGCTGGTCTCTGAGGCCCTCCGGGACTTGAACCTTAATTGTTCCGCTGCAGACCAACACGAGGACGAGGACGGCCCTCTGAAGCAAAATATCTGTGCCCCAGCCCCAGCGATCATGCACTAGAGGTCAGGTAGGCAGGACGACCTCTGGCTACCGTCGATGTGTCTCGACTCTTTTTTTTTTATTTTTTTAGAGAAGCCAATGTTGGATCAGGCCAATGGCCCATCCAGTCCAACATTCTGTCACACAGTGGCCAAAAATACCAGGTGCCATCAGGAGGTCCAGCAGTGGGGCCAGGACACTAGGAGCCCTCCCACTGTTGCCCCCCCCAAGCACCAAGAATACAGAGCATCCCTTGTCCCAGCTTGAGAGTCCCTATCTATACCTTGTACTAATAGCCACTGATGGGCCTCTGCTCCATATGTTTATCCAGTTCCCTCTTGAAGCTGTCCATGCTTGTAGCCGCTGCCACCTCCTGTGGCAGTGAATTCCATGTGTTAATCACTCTTTGGGTGAAGAAGTACTTCCTTTTATCCATTCTAACCCGACCGCTCAGCAATTTCATGGAGTGCTCACGAGTTCTTGTATTGTGAGAAAGGGAGAAAAGTACTTCTTTCTCGACCTGCTGTATCCCATGCATAATCTTATAAACCTCGATCATGTCACCCCTCAGATCCCTGTCGAGCTGGCTTCATTTCTTGATGTATTTTAGCAGCCTCCTTGAGGCCCGTCGAAAGGCCGGAGGTGGGCCATTACTAATAAGGGCAACGATGCCTTAAGTATTTCTGTTTCGCCTCCTTTTGCGGAGGAGAAAAGCAGGCAGGCGAAAGAGACCCCCTACGGATCTAGACAACTTCCTGTAGGGGGTCTCAGAAAGCCGTGCGGGCGCACACACACACACACTCCCCGGCAAGAAATAACAGCCTGGAAAGACCACTAAAGAAAAGAGAGCGAAGGCGGGCGGCATCTCTCCAGTGGACATCCGCGCCATCTCTGGGAGGAGGCCGTGGCTTTGCAAAGAGCCCTGGGACACCATCGGGTGTCTCCGACGGGCAGGGCCACATGCATTTCCTCGAACCAGCTCAGATGTGTTTTGCAACCCCCTCGATCCGCCTGGGAAAGCCTGAGGCCTGCTCCCGACAGGCTGACACAGAGAACTTTTCCCCCTTCTCCCCAAATACCAGAACTCGAGGGCGTCCAATGAAGCTGATGGGCAGTAGGTTCAGGGCGGACAAAAGGAAATACCTTTTTACACAGATTGTGATTCAAGTGTGGGATTCGCTGCCAGAGGCTGTAGGGACGGCCACAGGAATAGACCGGTTTGGGGGTTGTTGTTTTTTTTTAAAAAGGGATTCATGGAGGATAAATCTATCGAGGGCTACTAGTCTGCGGCAGTCAGTTCCTGAGTCCCAGAGGCAGGAGGCGGTATCAGGGAAAGGCCTCGGCCTCTCCGCCCTGTGGCTGGCCGTCCAGAGGAACCGGCTGGCCCCTGTGTGAGACGGGGCGCTGGACTAGAGGGACCCTCACTGGTCTGACCCAGCAGGGCTCTTCTGATGGGGGGAGGAGGGACTCCTTCGCTGCCTCTCCATCCCTGCCCCGGTTGGCATCTTGAGGCGCCGGCACTCCGCCTGCTCCCCCTCCCGCCCAGGCCGGTGTGGGCCGTGGGGGAGGAAGGAGGGTGGGGAGAGAATGTGCCCTCCTCCTCCCCCTCCCCCCCCCACCGGCGGGCGCGTCCCCCCCTGGGCCGCCGCTTCCAGCCTCTCGCGCTCCTCTCCTCCCGCGCTCTGCCGTCGGACCTTGTAATTATGTCACGCTGCAAGGGAAACCGCCAGCATCTGGCGTGCGGTCGAGCAAACTTTTGTTTCAAGACCGGCGACTATTTTTAGCAGGGGGAACTTGGTCGGGAGGAGAGTAATTTCCGAGGGTTTCCAAGAAAATCTGGCGGCCTCGCCAGTCGCGGAAAGAGAGAGAGAGAGAGAGAGAGAGAGAGAGAGGGGCTGCTCCTCTCCTCTCGCCCGAGAAAGGAAGCCGCTCTCCTCAATCCTCCGCCCCCCCGTCTTTGGGCCCCCGGGTCCGTCCCCCCCCCACGCGGCGATCCTTTTCAGGTGGAAAGACCCTTCGGCGGCTCCCTGGGCCTCTCGGAGCACCCACTCCTGGGAGCCCCCCCTTGGTGAATCTCCGGGTGGGGGCTCCGGCGCTCTCCCAGGACGCCCCCAGCATGTGTATCTCATTAGGCGTCCCGGAGGGAGAAGCCGGCGCGTTTTCCCAGCACGGAAGACGAACCGCAGCTCTGCCAGGCGATCCAGACTTGGGCGCGGTTGGGCATCTGACAGATGGGGGGGGGGGAGAGACGGGGGGGGGCGGGAAGGGCGCGCGGGCCCCATCCAGCCCCCAGGGGTAACTCCGGGGGACTCACTCCCCGGTGAAGAGGCCCAGGCTGCCCAAGTCCGCGGCTGTTCCTGCTGCCCCTGAAGCCAGGCTCAAGGGCCGGGCTGCGCAATCCGAAAGGCGGGATAGGACAGGACGGAGGGAACACCTCTCCGGTTCCCGCGGCGCGTCGGAAGCGCCCGTTTGGGAAGCCCCCTGCTCAAATGCTGCCTCCTCCCTGCGCGCACCGGCTGGGTAGTGACTGAGCCGCGGGGGGGGGGCCGCGGGCGGGTGGAGGCGAGAAGCCCCCGGTCTTTCCCCTCTTCAGCGCCCCCCTCCCGCCCCACGCGCAATCTAGGGAGGTGCCGAAAGATGCCTACCTCGCGGGGCTGTTGGGAGATCCACGGAAGCCAGGCGAACGTTTCAGAGCAGGCGGCGCCGGGAGGTCCCTGCAGCCTCCTCCGGAGCCAGACAAGGGAACCCCCCCCCCCGCGCGCGCGCGCTTTCTCCAGCCGCTGGCCCGCCCGCCGGACGCGCAGTCCTACGTTAGCAGCTGCGGCGCAACCGGAGCTCTTGCGCCAGGAGCGATCGAGATGCTTGAGCCGGTGCGATCCGGCCAGGAACCGGAGGGGCAGGAAGGGGGGAGCGGGGGTGGCGGCGGCGGCCTTTCGCGCGCACTTCAGGGGAGGCAGTTCGGAGTGGAGGACCCGCTTCCCCTGCCCCAAAGCCCCGGGCGGGCAGCTCCAGCGCCCCCAGCACCGCCGGCCCCAAACCACCGTCCCCTCGCCCGACGAGGCCGTGACCCCTGCAAGCCACCTGCCCCCTGCAGCGGGCAGAAGGGAGGCGCGGGGGGAGCGAAGGCCTTTGGGATCCGCCGGCCCGATCCGGCCAACAGCCCCGCGTGTCTGGGTCGCTGTCAGCTTCCCGGAGAGCCCGGGCGAGGGAGGCGGTGCGGAGCGGAGCGGCCTTCGCCAAGGAGACTGCTTCCCCGGGACGGGATCCTGCCCGTCATTCAGCACCGCAGCCTCGAAATCTCTTCAGGACGGCCAGGGGAAGGGCGCTCCAGGCCAGTGGGGAAGGCTCCGTCTCCCCTCCAGCCGCCTTCCAGCCTCCCGGTCCTGGGCAGGGTTCCCCCGAAACAAGTCTGTCCGCCTGCCTTCAGCGAGCCCTCCCCCTCCCCGCCCCGGGGTCGCTCAGCCGTCGAGGCCAGATCCCTTCTCCCCCGCTCACGGCCCAGGCTGGGGGAGGCGGCGCTGCCCGCCCTCCGGCTTCTCCGGGGCACCTGCTGCTGGAGGCCTCTCCAGAGGCGGGACGCCGGTTCCGCCGGGCTGGGCGCGCCGGGAGGCAGCGCGACATCATGCGGGGAGGGGGGGGGAGACCGGGCCGAAGGTGACTTACAGGTAGCTGCCGCTGGTGAGGATGAGGAAGATCTGCGGGTAGTAGACGGAGAGTAAGGCGCTGCGCGAGGAGAGGAGGATCATGGTCGTCTCCCGGAGGAAGCCCTCCTCCGGGCCGGTCTCTCCTGGCTGGGGGCCCCCCGCGAGTGGCTCCCTTCTCCCCCGGCAGGCGCTTTTCTGGG